TCAGCCCCCCCCACCTCAAATATGACGTCACAAAGCTCTGCCCCCCTCCCCCCCCCGAAAACCATGTTTGCATTTTGAAAATAAAACATGCTTCGAATCGCTTTAAAAATTGTCATTGTAGTGCGTATTTAATGTGGCGCTGCACTCTGATGTTGTAGGAGAAAACATTTATTTACAAGTCTATTTAAGTAAGTAGAACGTGTTGTCTATATTATTTAAAGTTGCGCATTTGATGTGACGTCACATTTCTCAACCCCCCCCCTCGTCACACATCGTCACAAATGTCTGACCCCCCCCCCAGGTGCGTGACGTCATTTATGGACGGCCCCTATGGTAGAGGGGACGTTTCGGGCAATGGCCCTTCGTTTGGCGCATTATGATAGAACACGGCAATAATTACACCTTTAAAACGTCTCCTCGTGAAGTGTGTTTATTATCACGTGAATAGTTACCTAGTATTCGCTCTCTACTAACGCATACAACCTCAAATAATTCAAACGTATGAGTGTATGACTAAATAAACTCAATTCTAGATTTGAAGTTTTCGTCACTGCAAGGATCCATGGCATCGGGGGGGTGAAAATAAGAAAAAAAATTAAAATAAAATAAAAAATTAAATAACTAAATTAACGGGCGCAACACAAGCGTCCGTCATCAGGTTTCACCTACGTGACTTTACCGAAAGAACCAAAGAATAAAAACAGGACCCTGCGGGGTGGGCTGGTAGGAACTAATAACCAAAGAATATAAACATAATGTATTATTACACTTGTTTAGCCAGGAAAGCCCCACTGAGTCTAAAGGTTTTGTAGGGTCCTGCCAAGTGTTTGCAGTAGGGGGCGATGTTGCTACACCTAATCGGACGATACGAAGGGAGAGTTTGAGGCCTAGTTCTAGGCTTTAGGCCTAGCTGGAGGCTTTAGGCCGCTGTGAGTTAATTTTTAATTTAAATGTTTTAATTATTAATGTAAAAGCTTTAAATGTAAATGTTTCTATTTTAAAAAAACATCAGGGAATGTAACATTGTAAAACATTAACTCCCTTTCACACACGCGGGGGTATGATACGAAGGGAGAGTTTGAGGCCTAGTTCTAGGCTTTAGGCCTAGCTGTAGGCTTTAGGCCGCTGTGAGTTAATTTTTAATTTAAATGTTTTAATTAAAAGCTATTTAGGGAATTATAAGGGAATGTTGCACTTGTTTAGCCAGGAAAGCGTCACTGAGTCTAAAGGTTTTGTAGGGTCCTGCCAAGTGTTTGCAGTAGGGGGCGATGTTGCTACACGGACGGACGGACGGACGATATAATCTATTGTAGGCGGGTTCACTTCGTTCCTACCAGTATAAACTCAATTGTATTCAGAGACACATTGTCCAATCTCCCCCGCCTCTCTCCCTATTGCCCCACCCCTTTTCCCCATTGTGAAAAGAGCTTTACAGCTCATCGGATTCCTCATCTTGTCTAAATTCTAATTCTGAGTCAAATTGATCGCGCCCTCCCCCGACTGCCCCGCCCCCTAAATTCCCCCCCCCTTTATTGACCACACCTCCCTCCATTGCGCCCCCCCCCCCCCGTATTGCCCCACCTTCCCCAGCGCCCCGCCCATCATTAGCCACCCCCTCCACCCATTGCCCCCCCCCTCCACCCAGTGCCCCGCCCACTCATTACCCCGCCCCCTCCACACCACATTGCCCCGCCCCCCTCCACCCATTGCCCCACCTTCCCCAGCGCCCCGCGCACTCATTAGCCCACCCCCCTCCACCCATTGCCCCGCCCCCCTCCACCCAGTGCCCCGCCCACTCATTACCCCGCCCCCCTCCACCCACATTGCCCCGCCCCCCTCCACCCATTGCCCCACCTTCCCCAGCGCCCCGCCCACTCATTAGCCCACCCCCCTCCACCCATTGCCCCGCCCCCCTCCACCCAGTGCCCCACCTCCCCCAGCGCCCCGCCCACTCATTGCCCACCCCCCTCCTACATTACCCCGCCCCCTCCACCCATCGCCCCCCCCCTCCACCCATCGCCCCGCCCCCCTCCACCCATCGCCCCGCCCACTCATTACCCCGCCCCCCTCCACCCACATTGCCCCGCCCCCTCCACTCATTACCCCGCCCCCCTCCACCCATTACCCCACCCCCCTACACCCACTGCTCCACCCTCCCCATTGCCCCACCCCTCATTACCCGCCCCCCTCCATCCATTGCCCCGCCCACCCATCGCCCGCCCCTCGCCCCCCCCCCCCCCCCCCCCCCCTCATTGCCCCGCCCCCTGCACAGCTGCCCCCCCCCCTCCCGAGCCGCCCAGTTCATGATGGCGGACGCGTCGACTCGTTGGTTCGTCGCGTCGCCCGCGCTGCTCGCCAAGGAGCTGGCGCGCACTTTCCGCGCCTTCGGCCGCCTCAAGCAGCACTTCCAGAAAACCTGCAGGAGACGGAGGAGTACTTCGCCGAGCTGCAGGACTGCGGACACTACGACGAAGGCGAGTGCCGAGTTTGCCGAACGACGCCGCCGCAGTTCCAATTCGCGGCTTTTTTTCTCCATTTTTTTGCTTCGCTTCGAACGGGGGGGGGGTGGCCACGCCCTCCCTTGAGATTTCCCAGTGCAGATAAGCGTGGCATTACCACGCCCATTGGACGAACGCCGCGTCACGTGGGCCGCAGGGGCCAATGGCGCGAGGGGGGGTTGGAGGGGGGGGGGTCGAGCGCTTATGCGAGCTGGGAAATATGAACGGCACCGGCGATTGTAAACAAACTCCACGTTACTCCGTAAAGAATATGATAATTGTTTCGAGATTTGAAGCTTTCGTGACTGCAAGGATTCATATTCTTAGGTTTTTTCGGTAAAGTCACGTAGGTAGAACATCAAAATTAATAAAAGTAAAATAAAATATTTTATTTTTATTAATTTTGATGTTTTACCAACGTGACTTTACCGAAAAAACCTAAGAATATGATAATTGTTTTTTTACCCTTCTATTTGGCAATAAAACTGACACTTTTTTTACAAGGAGTCATGTTTGCATAGACCACAATACCTGCGGTCATAATGCAAAAAAAAACACAAGTCAGTGCACATTATCAGAGTTGTGTTTTTGTTTGCATTATGGCTGCAGGTATTGTGGTCTATGCAAACATGACTCCTTGTAAAAAAGTGTCAGTTTTGTTGCCAGATAGAAGGGTAAAACAATTATAAACCTCCACGTTAGTTTATTAACGCGTAAGTCGTAGCAGCAGTGGTGGTGGTGATGGTTAGTCGGGCGTTTTGCGATCAATATCATCCGTAATGTAGGCAGTTTATTTCGATTTAAAGCTTTCGTGACTGCAGGGATTCATATTCTTGGTTCTTTCGGTAAAGTCACGTAGAAGAAGAAGGGAAATAATAAAATAATAAAAATATGAAACAATAAAATTCTCGCGACGTTTCGATTGCAACACAAGCAATCATCATCAGGTGTGAAAACCACAGAAAACTTTTTCAAATTGTCTTGCATTTTTTTTCTTCAAATGTCTTGCTGTGGTTTTCACACCTGATGATGATTGCTTGTGTTGCAATCGAAACGTCGTGAGGATTTTATCGTTTAATATTTTTATGTATTATTTCCCTTCTTCTACGTGACTTTACCGAAAGAACCAAGAATATAGGTGGTTTAGTAAAGGTTTTTTGTCACGTAAACAGAACGTGCCCATTCGTTGCGAGGCACGGCAACCCACAACAACCCACAACAACCATTTGCGTGTTGGGGGTTTCTCTCTCTCCGCTGCTGGATGACGACCTCACCGTGCCCCCATCGATCACCCTCTCGGCTCGCGCGAGGTCACACACGTGTTGTGTCCCCCTTGCGATTAATCGATGTGTGCGCTTTAATCCGCTCGCTACGACTAATCGATGTGTGCGCTTTAATCCGCTCGCTACGATTAATCGATTTGTGCGCGTTAATCCGCTCGTTACGATTAATCGATGTGTGCGCTTTAATCCGCTCGCTACGATTAATCGATTTGTGCGCTTTAATCCGCTCGCTACGATTAATCGATTTGTGCGCTTTAATCCGCTCGCTACGATTAATCGATGTGTGCGCTTTAATCCGCTCGCTACGATTAATCGATTGTGCGCTTTAATCCGCTCGTTACGATTAATCGATTTGTGCGCTTTAATCCGCTCGCTACGATTAATCGATGTGTGCGCTTTAATCCGCTCGCTACGACTAATCGATGTGTGCGCTTTAATCCGCTCGCTACGATTAATCGATGTGTGCGCTTTAATCCGCTCGCTACGATTAATCGATGTGTGCACTTTAATCCGCTCGTTACGATTAATCGATGTGTGCGCTTTAATCCGCTCGCTACGATTAATCGATTTGTGCGCTTTAATCCGCTCGTTACGATTAATCGATGTGTGCGCTTTAATCCGCTCGCTACGATTAATCGATGTGTGCGCTTTAATCCGCTCGCTACGATTAATCGATGTGTGCGCTTTAATCCGCTCGTTACGATTAATCGATTTGTGCGCTTTAATCCGCTCGCTACGATTAATCGATTTGTGCGCGTTAATCCGCTCGTTACGATTAATCGATTTGTGCGCTTTAATCCGCTCGCTACGATTAATCGATTTGTGCGCGTTAATCCGCTCGTTACGATTAATCGATGTGTGCGCTTTAATCCGCTCGCTACGATTAATCGATGTGTGCGCTTTAATCCGCTCGCTACGATTAATCGATGTGTGCGCTTTAATCCGCTCGCTACGATTAATCGATGTGTGCGCTTTAATCCGCTCGCTACGATTAATCGATGTGTGCGCTTTAATCCGCTCGCTACGATTAATCGATGTGTGCGCTTTAATCCGCTCGCTACGATTAATCGATGTGTGCGCTTTAATCCGCTCGCTACGATTAATCGATGTGTGCGCTTTAATCCGCTCGTTACGATTAATCGATTTGTGCGCTTTAATCCGCTCGCTACGATTAATCGATTTGTGCGCGTTAATCGCTCGTTACGATTAATCGATGTGTGCGCTTTAATCCGCTCGCTACGATTAATCGATTTCTGCGCTTTAATCCGCTCGCTACGATTAATCGATGTGTGCGCTTTAATCCGCTCGTTACGATTAATCGATGTGTGCGCTTTAATCCGCTCGCTACGATTAATCGATTTGTGCGCTTTAATCCGCCCGTTATGATTAATCGATGTGTGCGCGTTAATCCGCCCGCTACGATTAATCGATGTGTGCGCTTTAATCCGCTCGTTACGATTAATCGATGTGTGCGCTTTAATCCGCTCGCTACGATTAATCGATTTGTGCGCTTTAATCCGCCCGTTATGATTAATCGATGTGTGCGCGTTAATCCGCCCGCTACGATTAATCGATGTGTGCGCTTTAATCCGCCCGTTACGATTAATCGATGTGTGCGCTTTAATCCGCTCGTGGGTTTCGCTTGGCGCGCGGTCGAGTTGACATTTGTCGATGGTGTGAAGAAGAAGAATAAGAAGACGGCAAAGACGACTCGATGCGAATTTTGTAAATTTTACGCGAAAGATTACGAAACTAAACAAGTTACTAAGTAAGCACCCACCCCCCCCCCCACTGAGCTTATGTTGTAGCTATTTTTACAGAAGACGACGACCTGGCTGTCACAAATGATAGTTCCACGAAGTTGGCGGCTTATTATCATCATCACGTGAAAATGTAAGCAACCAAATTAGTCTGAACGCGTGATAATGTGGAGGGGGCGCGGGGGGAGACCGGAGAACCCAGAGGAAAATCCACGCGACCGCGGCGAGAGAGACACGCAAACTCCAAATATACAGCAGCAGCAGGCGTCAGGGTCGGGATCGAACCCACGACCTCCTGCACACCAGGGAGGTAGTTAACATCTCCTAGCCACCGTGATGATGATGAGAGAGAGAGACACGCAAACTCCAAATATACAGCAGCAGCAGGCGTCAGGGTCGGGATCAAACTCACGACCTCCTGCATAACGGGCGAGGTAGTTAACATCTCCTAGCCATCGTGATGAGAGAGAGAGACACGCAAACTCCAAATATACAGCAGCAGGCGCCAGGGTCGGGATCGAACCCACGACCTCTGCACACCAGGCGAGGTAGTTAGCATCTCCTAGCCACCGTGATGATGAGAGAGAGACACGCAAACTCCAAATATACAGCAGCAGCAGCAGACGCCAGGGTCGGGATCGAACTCACGACCTCCTGTATAATGGGTGAGGTAGTTAACATCTCCTAGCCACCGTGATGATGATGAGAGGAGAGACACGCAAACTCCAAATATACAGCAGCAGCAGCAGGCGCCAGGGTCGGGATCGAACTCATGACCTCCTGCATAACGGGCGAGGTAGTTAACATCTCCTAGCCACCGTGATGATGATGAGAGAGAGACACGCAAATTCCAAATATACAGCAGCAGGCGTCAGGGTCGGGATCGAACCCACGACCTCCTGTATACCAGGCGAGGTAGTTAACATCTCCTAGCCATCGTGATGAGAGAGAGAGACACGCAAACTCCAAATATACAGCAGGCGTCAGGGTCGGGATCGAACCCACGACCTCCTGTATACCAGGCGAGGTAGTTACATCTCCTAGCCATCGTGATGAGAGATAGACATGCAAACTCCAAATATACAGCAGCAGGCGTCAGTGTCGGGATCGAACCCACAACCTCCTGTATAACGGGCGAGGTAGTTAACATCTAGCCATCGTGATGAGAGAGAGAGAGACACGCAAACTCCAAATACACAGCAGCAGGCGTCAGTGTCGGGATCGAACCCACAACCTCCTGTATAACGGGCGAGGTAGTTAACATCTAGCCATCGTGATGAGAGAGAGAGACACGCAAACTCCAAATACACAGCAGCAGGCGTCAGGGTCAAGATCGAACCCACGACCTCCTGTATACCAGGCGAGGTCGTTAACATCTCGCCGCCGCAGCACCCATGTATGGTGTCATCATAACCAGCTGCCATTGTTGGCCGAGGGATCCTCCGTTCCCACGCCGTGCGAGTTGCGGGTCGGTGAAGGCTGGCGAGCGCTAGTCGTGGGAGCATAGAGGTGGCGTGCAACAATTGTTTTGTTGTTGCTGTATTGCACTTGCGTGGCTGCTCACGCAGCACGTGAGCCTGCAGAGCCACTGTGGCAACCTGCCTTGTGCGTGCGTGTCTCCAGACGGCGTGTGCAGCGGTTAGCGCTACGCTGCGCTACGAACCCGGCCACCCGAGTTCGATCCCCCCCTCTCGCGGCCAACAGTGGTGGCGATTGTCTGAACCGGTCCTGGGCCTCCTCCCCTAGGTCGACTCGGCCTCAAATGAGTACCTATTGCGGTGTGTAGTCAACATCGCCACTGGGGACACAAAGGCGGCCGGGCGTGGTGGTGGCGGCCACCTATCCCCGTTCGCGTAGCGTTCAGGGCTTCATAGGTGCTCGCTAACAGCACTTGCCCCAACAGTCTGTTAAGGCTACCCGGGGGATCTCTGTC